AAGAGAAATTGAATGGACAAATTTTGTAATCAAAGAAATATTCATCATGAAGTTTTCAGAGATTGATTAATTACGAACCCAATTGTTCAACTTTACTCTATAATAATATAGAAGAAACATAGTACTTTTAACTTAATTTCCAAGTTGATGAAAATCAAAGTGTTGTTACAAGTGAAAGGGACAACAGAATTTTTTTTGTCTAAGCTTTTTAAATCACAATGTCCTAGGCTTCGATTTGAGCGGGAGCGGTTAGAGGTTTCTCTAAAGAACATTGATCAGGTTCCATGGAACTGAAAAGATGTAGAACATCTGCATTGCGACGGATATAACTAGGGCATAGAGCCAGTAAATCCTGAGCTTCACTATGCCTTGCACACTTCAGCATAGCTTCAAATACGCGCAGAACCATTAAATTAGATGCAAACTTCTTTGAGGTTACAGCCTTTAGAAAAGTGAAAGCTTCCGCGCCTGTTCCACTACTTGATAAGTAATCGATGAATGGGTCCACGAAAGGAGGGAAACCTTGATTTCTCATGAGGGGTAAAAGACTCAAAGCTTCTTCAAACCCACCATCTCTTGCTACCTTCTTCATCAATAGATTCCTCACCATTATTTTGTACGTACTGTGCCAAGGTTTCAACTGATTTTGTTTCACTAGCTCGGTGAAAAGCTTGTATGCATCTCTTGCCTGAAAACTGTTGCAATAAGCAACTACCAACTTCTCGAACGCATAACCCGCATAAGAGACTCCCTCTTTGCCAATCATCTTCTTGAAACACTTTGAAGCTTCTTCGAGATCTTTAGCATCACAATGCCCTTCAACTAAAGATGCCATTGCTTTGTCATCCAGATGGTTTCCAGTGGCTTCCATAAATTCCACGAGTTCATTAGCTTCATCTTTTTTGCCCTTACGACTAAGTCCCGATGCAATCACACTCTGCAGATCACTGTTTGGAATATAGCCGCCTTCTTTCATCGCTTTCAAGACCTCATTGCTCTGTTCAAACCTATCAACGCTTCTCAAAGACTTGAGAATACTTTGCAGCATAGCATCCGTCATAACGTTGCCATTTCCGGTATAAGCTTTCACAGTTCTTGAAAACAAATCCATGTCCAGTTTCTTGCCACTAACAATTTTCTTGAGCAGTAAACTGCAGCAGTGTGCAGTGGGTGTGTTGCTACCCGCCATTGCAAACTCGAACAATTCAACAGCTTCTTTAATCAATTTAGTCTGACAGAACCTAGCTGAGACCCTGACATATGTCTCCATTTCCATTTCATAACCAGCACTTCTTATTTCTTCAATAAGGTTTTGAAACCTATCAAGAAATTTCTCTTTCCCCAAAACCCTGGCCATAGCGTTGTACGTCTTCTCATCATGCTTAAAGCTACAAGACTCATCTACCCACCGAAAGAACAACAACGCTCTCCTCGGTTCAACATCAAGTTTCTCCACTATCATCTTCACCAGCTCGCTGTTAAACTCGAGTTTCAAATCCCTTAGCTGTTTCTCCAAATCAGCATTCCACTGATCCTTCATCACAATCTTACACACCCTATTGCAAACCTTATCCATAGAATTATCCATAGAACCCGAAGCGAAAAGCTCTTTAAGCCTATTCAAATCACCTTTTAAACCATCTCTCTGAAATTTCTCACCAACTTTGTCCCTAACATTAGCTGATACACCATGCCCTTTCTTCTTCATATCATCGACCAAACTCCAAAATTCATCAACAAGTCCATTAAGACCCAGAATGCGCAACATCGTGTTATAACTCTTTGACGAAAGTTTTCTAGGAGAAGCTTCCAAAACCCAATGGAAAAACCTTCCTGCAACATCAGGCCTTGATTCAAGCGACCTCAGAGCTTTCAAAGCTAAGTCATGACTAATCACAATATCAATCGAATCAAGCTCTTTACTAATCTCATCTTTACCACTCAATCTGCTAAAAACATCAATCACAACAGATTCAATAGAAGGTTTCTCTTCAGTTGAAAAGCTTCGGGAAATAGAGCTCGACGACAATGGCGGTCGCAAAGCAAGAAGATATTGACTTTGTTGCAAATCTCTTAACCCAGAAATTCCATGGAGGAAAGAAGAGAAGGATCGAGTGGAATTGGAGATTACCTGGAAACGGGAGTAATGAGAAATAAATGGACGATGAGAAGAACGGTAAGTCCGTAGAAGAAGCAATCGCCATTGATGCTTCATCCTCGTTTGAATCTAGATTATAGAACAAAAGGGTTTTGCTTAATTGCTTGATCGGAACCAAAAGTTTGGATCTTTCGAACGAAACGAGATGAGCAGCGATGGGTGAAGCGGGTGGAAAATGGTAGGGTTTTAGAGATG